AGAGCTAGGATTGAAAAATCCTTTGGTCCAGATTTTCTGACGTACATGATAGAATGTGACGCGCATATTCTAACTTGTTTACTAGAAAATAAATTGAATTTTCTGACATGGTTGTTAGAAAACGAGCCTCGAACATATGTAGAAATGGTGACTTCTACAAATGGACCAACACGAGAGAGGCTACCGAGAGTAAAGTAGATTCTATCTTAGAGAATCATACTTTGAACTGGTTGATCTTCTTTCTGGTTGTAAGGCCTCGGGATCCTAAATGGATCACTAGTCGGAAGATAAAACCGGTTGGTTATATTGAAGTAAAAATGGTCGGGCTTGTAATTGTAGATTACATGCAACGCCAGTGCCACAGTTACTTCGATATATATTCTCATGTGATGAGAATGAAATCCATTAGGATGATTTTTTCCAAGAGTCGTTTAACGAGACTTGGAAGTTCATCGAAATGGATGTATCGCTTTCTTCATAGACATGGAACAACCTGAGGGTTTTGTGGTTCCGCGCTATGGAAAGAAAGTGTGTAATTGGAGAGATCATTGTATTGTTCGAAACAATTTCCTTAGTGTTTGGCATGTGAGCTTGATCATACAATGATGACTAATGAGTTTAGTATAAACAAAGGTGACAAATGTCTACGTAATGCATACGATAGACGAGGTTATCACGATTTGTCTATACACGATAAACTCAACGTGGGTAGTAACGATCACATGATCGATTCTACTAGGGTCATGTTAAATTTGAGATTTGACATGAGACGAGTGAGTTTGACAGATTTAATCTTCGAGATTAAAATCGTGTGAAGACCGTATGGTCTCATGGTAGGTCAATCTCATTGAGTTGATTGAATCCTTGTAAAGGATGATAATCAAGTGGTTTGGACACCGTTAGATACTAACGTACTACTAGCCGATAATCACGGAGATTGTATTTCTCACAGAAAATACATTCAGATTATTAGTAGTTTAACTGTATCAAATGAGTTGTACTAATCCGGATATTGTCTTAGCGGTTAACGAACTCGGTAGACATACGAGTAATCCTAGTGTTACTCACTAGAAGGCAATAGTGAGAGTTATGAGATACTCAAGGTATGCTCGTGACTTTGGACTGCACTACGTGGGCTATCTAGCCGTACTTGGAAAGTATAGCACAGATATCAAAGGACACTAAGTCCATCAAAGACTACGTCTTTACGTAGGCCAGTGCAGTCGGTTGGACGGAAATTCTCGAAATGAATTTGTGATAGCTAAGATCCGACGGGATCAAAGCTGAGAGCCTTACACTCGTGTCGCGAGTGAGTAAGCCAAATGGCTATGCCATTATTTCAAGAATGTTCCTAGTGGTGAACTCGTACCTCCAATTTGTGTGCATTGCGGTAGTCAAGCCAAAATTGGTTAAGTACAGAGTTAGATGAGGAATGGTAAGTCTAGACTCATAAGTCGTAGACATAATACCATTAAACAATTTCTCACAACGGGGGTTATCTCTATTGACTACGTGATGTCAAAAGATAACGTAGCGGCCGCTAACTCGCTAACCCGAGGGTAAGCAAATGGTTGTGGAGAAGTTGGGACGAGGATTGGGTCTAAAGCCCGTGGACTAAAAGTTCTATAGTGGATACCCAACCTAGCTAGCACCTAGGTTCAATGGGACAACTAAATTATGGAACGAAGCGTGTCACTGTGGGGGTCTCGGACTCCCCACCACTCCTCGTTAGAACAGTGACTCCCGCGCAAGGTTAGCATGTTGATGCTTTAATGATTCGAATGTCGGTTGACATGTGTGAGTATGCGGGATACTCGGAAAAGAATCACCTATGTGAGAGAGAAGTGAGGGTCGCTTCAAAGGAGAATTGATGGGCACAATTCTTCACAAACTCTTGCAGAACCAGGACGGTGACCCACAACCAAAATGGGCACACTCATGAGAACAGAGCATGGTTGGGAGGTTCCTGTGTGAGATATGTCATCGTCTACACAAACGGCAGTCGGTTCAAAGACATCGCGTTCTACCGTACAGCCAGTAGAGTAAACATATCTTTACAAGGGAAGGTTCAAAGGGTATAGTGATCCCTATCTATCCTATGCAGGGATCAACCGGTAAACACAGTTGTTTCCGATTTCAAAATACCCTGAAAATCAATTTTTCATTCATGTGGGGGATTGTTGAAAAAATAGCATTAAAATGATATTTTGAGTGATTATTTTGTGGTACAAATATATGTGGGATCCACTTTCGATTTGGGTCGGGTCAATGTGGATTCGGGTTCTTCGTAGTGAGACGAAGAATTTGATATAATGTACGCTCAAAATGGATAATAGGTGAATGAGAGATTGATTCTCAAAGTGAACCTATTTGAGAGAAGTCAAAAACTTAAGTTTAGATGCTAATTAAAATTAGCATTCTAATAACATTTGTTGCACTGCACGAAAGTTGGTGCTTAAGTGGATTAAGCTTTGAAAGCTTAATTATAAAGCTTTGGAATTGGGAATGTTGCAAATATGCATGCACGAATGTTCCTTTATTTTTGAAAGCTTAATTAAGCTTTGGATTGGGAAATATGCATGGACGAATGCTGCTGCATGGAATTGAAGTTTCGTGCTCCTTTCGTTATGTGTGAGCTCCTTTCGTGAGTTTTAGATTCGGTGAGCACGAATCAATGTTATATGCATAGATTCGTGTTGCACCGTTTCGGTGTTTGGGGACCACTCGGGTGTGGTTTCTGGTCCCAATTCGTTAAACTTTCGGGTTTGTACGAACTTCTCGGTCACTCAGATATTTTGAACCAGGTCGTTATGGTCGGTACGAATTAATCGGATATTAAGTTCGTGACCGTTGATATTATTTCGATAATAAGTACGACCGTTTCAAACGTTATAATTCAATTTTTAAATTGAATTTATGTTGGTTAATGTGTCATGATGATGCTATTAAGTACCAACCTCCTATATAAGAGTGTAGTGGGAGTAGAGGTTTTTCGAACTGCATAGTGAGAGACAACAAGTGAGGGAAGAACATGAGAGTATAGAACACACAAAGATAAGCACTTTTTCTTCTCAAAATTCTGCTCCTACTCCATTCTTGAAGCTGTGTTTTGCCCGTGCTCTTGTTCGCCGGGTTCGTTCGTTTGGGTGCTCAAACGTCGAACCGCTGTACGTTTTATCCTGGGAGACCTAGGCCACAACGCTCCTAGCACTCATGGGAGGTGGCAAATAAGGTTTTAAGGAAAGAAATGCACATTATATTGCCTAACTCGTACATTTCTTTCTTCCTTATCCTTCTTTCTTGTTTTGGATTATGCTTTTAAGCAAAAATCTGTTCTTTCTTGTTGATTTGGAATTATAATCTAAGGATTATATTTTCTTTTGGTTGATGTATATTGGTATATCTTTTTCGTAGATATATACGTATATATAACCTTTGGGTCCGTTTTATATATATTTGTGTGTATATATATATTTCGGATAAATATCAAATAATATTTTATATACTTGTGTGTGTATATATAAATATTATTTTTGGGATATTAAATCGATTTTGGTTCATTATCACCAGCAGATCGGAGATGGACGGCGAGAAGATGGAGATATCGTTTGTGCGATCTGATCTGCTGCTCGGGTTTTTTGGGATAAAAATAATAACACGTGTCTAAAGTTTGACACTTTGGACGCAAGGTATGAATGTGCTTCTATTATTCGCGTCCAAAGTACTGAGCTTTGGACGCGAATAATACGAGGCATTTAATATAGGCGTCCAAAGTACAGAGCTTTGGACGCCTATACTGCTTTAAAATAAATAAATAAATAATTATTTATATAGTGGCATTTTAATTACAAAAATTCCACCGCACTACACTTTAGGCGTCCAATGTTCTAACTTTGGACGCGAATTATTCGATTTTATTGATGTTTTTTGTACTAGTGAATGGCTGGTCATGGCCGATTTTAAATACTGCCAGCCCACAAATATAGAAGAAATATAAGTTGCCGCGCTTTAATACACAAGTGTTGTTGTAACCTAGTTGGTTGAGGCGCGCCTACAATGTTAAAGGTCTTGGGTTTAACCCCCTATTGGCCATTGGCAACATCTTTGACTCATTTTACTCAAACTTGCTCTCTGACTTCACTAGGGGCGCTGCCGGCCGCTTTGGCCCGACGACATCCTCTCTCTTCCTTAAAGTGATATAGCGTTTCTTACATTTGAATTTAACTCAGAACTGCAATTTTTTTTTGTTTCTTACATTTGAATTTAACTCAGAACTGTAATTTTTTTGCCTAGCAAAGAGGAACACCAAATAGACCAAAAGAGAAAGATTGTTTTTTTTTTTTTAAAGAGAAAGCATTTTTTAAGTTACAAAGTTGGTGACAATGTTAGCTTTCTCTTTTCAACGGATGCTAAGATTGTCTTTAGTTAGATTCATCCATGAACCTAGATTCCATCAAGGGACCCTAGTAGTTAGAGTTTGGACATCCTTACAGTTTTTGAATTTTCAACGAATTACACAAATGCTCGTGAGGTATACACAACTATTCGATTATCATATCGATCTTGACAAAGAGATCGAGTTGAGGGCTTTGCTTGATAGGCAGCTAGCATACTCTTGTACGAGTAAAGAATGTGACTTAAATTTGCTATTTCAAACACCGATGATGAAAGTAAGTAAATATTTGATAGTCAAAGAACTAAATTGAACAATTTTAGAACATAAGGATAAAATCAGTGAAATCGAGCGACTTAATTTATGGATTATTATAATAATTTTCTTAGATTTTGAATAAAACCACTCATAGGATTTTGAATACATGTTTGTCATTAAATTTGTTAAAATTTGTAGACACGATTCTTCAATTGTTGAATCGTGTCTTATTGAATTAGAATCAAGCACTTCAATTCAGCGTAAACAAATCTAAACTCTTTAATCTTATTTATTACACAAAACACAATAACACAACTATTTCATAACAACCACAATACACGTACATTATTATTGTGAATACGTAATAGAGCTAGCCACAAGGATGGTAGCTTGTACGTGCTACATACTTTCTGTATTAGTATATACTACAAGGATATGGTAAAGCTAGTGAGCTAAGAGTGCTCAAGGCTGGGCTTCATTCTCCGCCGCATAGTCTTTTGCTTCTTGTGCAGTATGGCAGCAGTAGCTGCAGCCTCCATATCTGTTGTGTGCACAGCAACCGTAACGGCATCCGCCGTGGCCTCTTCCCCAGCTGCCGCCGCCGCCACCGCGTCCTCCCCACCCTCCGCCGTGATAACCACCTCCACTCCAGCCGTACCTATACCCACCACCATTTCCTCCGTAGCCGTAGCCATAGCCGCCGCCTTCCGCATCTTCAGCTGTTACTTGATTTGGTTCGGCATCGCCCAATTCTGCATTATTATTATTATTTTCGTACACAAATAAAGGGTTATTTATATTCCATTACAGAAAACCAAATTAGAACCAGAACTATAAGGGCAATTTTGATTTGTAACAAATTAGGCGACATCTCACCAACTGGTCTGCAACAACGGGTGCACCCAAAGTGGCCGAAACGACCACAGCAACCGTATCTACACCTGCGGCCTCCATAGTACTGATTGGTTTCCAAGGCTTCCTCCTCTTTGTTGGCGTCTTTCACATCGTTGCCTGCATATATATGAATGCATGCCCTCAAGCCTTAGTTTTTGCAAAACATAATGTGTGTGTATATATATATATATATAATATTCATCAATTTTGACTATCTTTGCGCGCTAATTTAATACATAAAATAATAAACCTATATACCTGCATGAATGTGTATCTATATTTACAATAATTTAATTAAATACCTTTTACAAAAACATCTAACATAAATGACAAATCACTACTCTATATTAACTTAAAAACAAATTATCAACTATTATGTGGCCTGGTGTGATGGCACCTCTGTTATCTTGACTTTCTTGATGAGTGGTCACTATGGAACCCAAATTTGTGTTGATAGTTGGCACCATAACCACCAAGATTTAAACAAAAATGTGACTTGTAAATACTACTGATCTTTAAATAGGTATTCCATAGAAAAAATAAAGGATACAAAACCTATAAATTTATTATATAATTTATGCAAGCTAGCAAAAATAGAGCTAGCCTTTGTAACATACTCTTCTTTTCATCTTGAGATGTATCAGTAGCGAAGGCTGAGGTGACAAGAAGTACGCCAACAATGAAGACACAAATATATGCATTAGACTTCATGGTCCGATCCTGTGGATATTATGATTGCTTGTTTTCTAATTCGTAGAAAGATTGTGGGAAGGATGCATGGAGTAGTGCATTCATGGTAGGTATTTATAGAGAGAAAAAGAATTTTATAAATGAGAAGAAGACATATATGCATTTAAGAATAGTGATGTAATAAGAACCTGTGTTGGTTGGGTGTTGCATTTACGACTTTGTGGCAAAATCTTATCGATTTAGTACTTGATAAACCCGCGCCCTATATAACAAGGGATCGGAGATGAGTATATCTCGACACGTACGCATGTCAAATTTAGAATTATATTCCTGCCTTTTCAAATTCATCAAGTGATATCTTATATACTCCGTATATAGGTATGCAACGGTAGGAATGTAGGATACACAGAAATAAATAATTTCAAATATATCAAACATTAAAATATATAAATGTTTATTTTACCTAGTGTATATTGAAGGATACATAATGGCATGCATGCACTATCAAGAGTAGCATTATGTTGAACAGACATTATTTATATGTTAGAATGTATTTTTCAAAAAAGCCAAAAATTTGTGTGAGACGGTATGATCAAATTAAATATGTAGTATTTATACTGAAAAATGTAATACTAATCAAGAGTAAAGTGTTTATTACATTACTTATAAGGAAAGTGTAATACTTTTGAAAAAAAAATATAAACTTTTACATTACAATTTAAGAGACCGTTAAGTACTTTCCCATCAATTAAATTTCCAGGAAAATCTTTTCAAGGAATATGTTTGATGGGAATAAAAAATTAATTAACATGTTTGGTGTTATTATGGAAACATAACAATTAAATTATTTAGAAAATTAATTAACATGTTTGGTTCGATTAAACTTCCCTAGAAAATTTTTATAATTAATCTATAATATATCCTTACTATAAACAATAATTTTATATAATATAATATATATATATATATATATATATATATATATATATAGAGAGAGAGAGAGAGAGGGATGCACTCAGGTGCGAATAAGTGCCCAGGAGGGAATATGCGAACGAATCCGCGCGTGACACGTGTCGAGATCTAATAGATTAAAAAAATATGGTGGCATTTTTGTAAATAATTAAACATCGAAGTGCAAGTAAAATCACTTACAAGTGCACCTACTTTCACCTATAAGTGCATATAATTTTGCGTTGTTAACATTCACTTCCCGCAAACATTCATGCACCTGGGTGCACCTACTTATAACTATGGGTGCAACTATTTATAACTATAGGTGCAACTACTTATAACTATAGGTGCACTTACTTTCACCTATAACTGCATGTAATTTTGTCTTGTTAACATTCATTGATCTGAGTTCAGCAGGTAATAATACCCCTGAAAACCACCCGCAAATGTTCATGCACCTAGGTACAACTACATATAACTATATGTGCAACTACTTAGAACTATAGGTGCAACTACTTATAACTATAGGTGTACTTAGTATTGATGCTCAGTGTAAATTTTTACTTGCACCTATAATACATTTTATATACACTTGTAATACATTTTACTTGTACTTCGATGTTCAATTGTTTACGAAAATGCCACCGCATTTTAAAAAAAAAAAAATCAGTGTTTCTCATCCATTAGATCTGGACACATGGACGGACAGAATCCATTCCTATTTCGCGCCTGGGCGAAGCATTCGCATGTGAGTGCGATTATATATATATATATATATATATATATATATATATATATATATATATATATATATATATATATATATATATATATATATACATACATATTTCTAATCAGGTGAGAACCAACCTTTCCTGCGAACTTGTGGAGGATTGCATCACAACTACTACATGATTGCATTGTTACGGCTTCCAAGCATGCCTAGAGGACCTTGCAGTGCAATCATGTAGTAAGTGCGGTGCAATCTTCACAAGTTCGCAGTCCGCAAGCTAAGATTGGTTCTCACCTGATTATGTAATGAATCATATTGCATCCTAGTTACCAAATTTTTTATATTTATAAGAGACTTTTAACCTGACGTCAAAAAGGATAAATACGTAACTGAATAAGTTTGGTGTATTTCTAGCCTCTCGGGAAAAAGAATCCTACCCTCCCCTAGGCGGGATTTACTTTCCATAATATTATGGAACGTAATTCCCATTGACCCGAATTTTACCAAGTCAAAGATTGTACCAAACGTGAAAATAATTTTCCTACCTTTTAAATTCACAGGAATGTTCAAACTTTTCTGGCTACCAAACGCCATCTAAAAGTATTAAATTTTCCACTTATAAGTAAGAAAAAAATGTAATACTTTTATATTTGATTTAAAAGTATTACATTTTTCACCAAAATATTACCTTTAAAAATAAAAAACACTTTATTCATGATTACTATTACATTTTTTAGTATAAATATTATTTTTCCATATTGATTCGACCCGATCAGATTCCGTCTCACGAATAAGGATATGTAAGACGGTCTCACACAAATGTGACCCTAACAAAATTAAAGATAATTCTAGTATCTAAATGATTACAAGATTAATTTTTAATTCTAGTATTCAAATTATTTTAAATTGGAATAAGGATCAAATAGGCCACGCAATTGCACCACAAATTGTAATTAGGTCATCGAACTTAAAAAAAATGCAGTTGAGTCTCTAAACAACACAAGGTCATGCAATTAGATCCAAAATGACATGTTTACTTGAAATTATGCTGACCTAGCAGTTACCGATTTTAAAAATAATTTTAAATAAAATAATTAATTAAAATTAAAAAAAAAAAACACTAGAACTGCCGGAGACAATTCATCTCCATGGTGCCGGAGACGATTCGTCTCCATGGCAGGAGACCATCCCTTCGTCTAGTTTTTTTTTTTTTTTTAAATTTTAATTAATTATTTTATTTAAAATTATTTTTAAAATCGATAACTGTCACGTCAGCATAATTTCATATAAATAGGTGATTAAAAAAATTTGCTACCCACATGTTTGCTAAGTGCCCAGAGGTGGTGAATGCATGGAATTCGTTGGGCATCCCAGTCTCTCAAGCAACGGGTAATAATATTATTGATTGATTTTTTGGTTGTTTAAATGTTTTATCTGATGGTTTACCAAAAGTTTTCTATGATCTGCTGGGGCTTGTGGTGTAGCCGAAATGATTCTGTTTGGAATGGTTCATACTTTAATATGCAAACATTATTGCGCAGAACTTTGTTATATTGGGAGAATTGGAATGCTGCCACTTCATCACCTAGTGACGTGCAGGAATCCCAAAGTCAAATGGATAAGTGGAAGAGGCCACGTAGGGGACGACTTAAATTGAATACGGATGCAGCTTGCGATCAAAGAAACAATGTTTTGGGATTTGGATGGATCCTAAGAGATGATAATGAGAATTTCTTAGCAGCAAAAAAATGTCCGTGTGTATGGTATCTATGGGGCAAAGGAAGCTGAAGCAATGTGTATAAGAGAGGCATTAAGTTGGTTCAAAGATATTAATATGAAAAATGTTTGATGTAGAGACAGACTCTCGTGTTCAAAGCTATTTCTAATACTTCATTTTTTTTTTTCTTTTTTGGTTTGATTGTCGACGATATTAAAGAGCTAGCATCTATGATTGAGGATGTTGATTTCTGTTTTGTAAAGAGATTTGCGAATTGTGCTGCCCACGGTGTTGCTCGGGAGGTCGTTTCTGAGTCAGGTTGCGGAGAGTGGTTTGATGATACCCCTACTCCTTTCCTTGTTGATTGTATTTCTGATGATTTAATGAATTAATTGTTTTCTTTCAAGAAAAAAAATTCGATAGCCTAATTATGATTTGGTGTGCAATTGAGTGACCTATTTGACATTTTTTTTAATGTTACTGTAGTATCTGTTCATAAATTACTTGAACCCACAACCTACATATGGAAGTCCAACATTGATGCCATTCAGTTGTTATATTATAGACCGCGGTGCATAATCGATTATGCACCGCGGCTCATATACGGCGCCGTTTCTTTAAGTAAAGAAACGGCCCGCCGTTAGAGTTAACGGAATCCGTTTGTTTGGTGTATTAAACACCAACTGGCACTACAGTATATCCAAACCGACACTGCAGTTATTTCAAAATGATACTGTAGTTATAGTGAAATGAAACTGCAGTGTATATAAACTGAAACTGAATAACATTTCACATATTTGAGTGTATATTGTACAATGAAGCTGTAATTATATCAAAATGATCATGTAGTTGTGTTTTAATAAAACTATAATGTATATAAAATAAAACTAAATAACATTTTCACATATTTGAGTCTATAAATATCGAATGAAACTATAGTTATATCGAAATGAAACTATAGTTATATCGAAATGAAACTGTAGTTGTGTTCAACTGAAACTGCAGTGTATACAAAATGACACTGAATAACAGAGTTACTTTTTGCAAAAGTGTGCGAAACGGCGGAAATAAACACTGTTAATTTTCATTTAAAAAAAAAAAAGACGCACGGTGCATAATCGATTATGCACCGCGGTGCATAATATAATTTGCCTGATTTAATTAGACCACAAATTCCTTATAAATTTGATTATATACCAAATATGTGCGATAAACATAATATATGACGGAGTACATCTTTATAAATACAAATAAATATGACGTTTGAGTGTGCCATGGATACTTGCATGTTGAGCACTTGGCGCCCACACTGCAAAAGAAAAAAAACGACAACGCTCACGCAGACGGCAGACAGTTTCTCTCAACGATCATCAGCCGGATCCCAATTTTCAACAAGCAAAGCTATCAATTTCAATCCCAATCGCGATTGTACAATCAGCGAGGCTTTAATTTAATGGCGGTGAAACATCTCTCAGCCATCGCCAACGACGTCGTTCGCCAATGTGCACACTAATTTCTCTCATCGATCCTCAATTCTTCTAAGAATTAGTATGATGTTAGCGTAAATATGTGCATTAATGGTTGATTAATATGTGTAGTTATGATTGGATGATCATTTACTTTGACGCCAGAAACTCAGTCTAAAGGCTCCTAGATAGATCGAG